GTTCCTTGGCGCTTGCTAGACACCGCTGTCCACTCCTTTTCACTTTTACCGGGCCTATTGTCCGAAGAGCTTGCTTCGGTTGCATGCTTGACACCGGTTCAAGCAATACTAACGCAGCCGGGGTCCCTCCCAGTACGCCTCCGTGCGAGCCATCTGGTCCGCATGGACTGCTGACCTGCTCCTCAGGTGCAACGCCTCGTGCAGCACGCTTTAACCCATATGGCATGCTGCTAATGCCTGGTTGAAAACCTCCTGGTGAAGAGCCTAGCTCACCACCACGTGAACCACCAGGCCCACTTGCTTCATGGCTTTCACGCCTGCTGCGTGATGGGCTGCATGCCGTCGTTACTGCGTACTGACCACCGGATACCATCGAGCTGGTCCTATTTTCAGAACACTCTCCAGCGTGTCTCAAGCTAGCCGCACAGGTCGATGATGCACCAGCCTCTTCCGATGCGTCAGTGTTCACTGTATATTTGTCCAGCTTTGCATCAACACCAACAACGGTCGTAGCACTTGTGTCTGTTGTTTCTTCGTGGACTTCCGGCGTCACGTACGCCTTTATTTTCTCTGGATGCATCGCACGAAGACTGCTTCTCCATGGCCGAGTACACGCGGCAATAGCTGCGTCCGCTCCAGCGAAGTTAGCACTTATGCCCGTAACATCGACGTAATCTTCGGAACCACCCCCCATGTCCGTAGCGTCGACATGAGTTTCCGAACCATGATCTTGACAGTGAACTTTTTCTTCACGGAGCACGACAATTTCTTTAGCCGATGCTTGAAGAACTGGATCCACCTTGTCCACGAGTTCGCACATCAACATCATGTCACTGTCGTCACCTTGCTGGGCCATGAGCGCCTTCTGCTTCGGTGCTTCCTCGCAGTTAGCCTTGAAGTGATCAAGGAGGCCACACTTATGACACCTCACTTTTCTGATGTCAAACTTCCTCCTCGGTGGTGCAGGCGCAGCCTCGTCATCCGAGTCGGCGAAGTTCTTTCTCGCCGAGCGCTGCTTCCCTTTCCCCTTCTTCTTGCCGCTGGTCGTGGATCCGCCTTGCTTTTCTTTCAACAGGGCGGTAAATTGCGCCTTTGTCAACACCAGGTGCTCACTCGCCTCCACATCGCCGCAACTGAGACGAATTCTCTCGTCGTGGGCTTTAAACCTTCCGACGAGATCCTCGACCGTGAGAGTCTTCAGGTCTAGACATCGCTCGATCGACGTGACGATCTGAATGTAGCGTGCTGACGCGGCGCGCAAAAATCGTCGGACGATCGCAACTTCTTCTAGGGTTGAACCATAGCTGCGTATGCCGTTGACGACGGTCTTGAGATGGGCGGCAAACTGATCAACCGTCTCAGTTTCATCCATCTTCAGGCACTCGTAGCTTCTCATCAGGGACTGAAGGTGTGCTTCCTTGACATGGTCATGACCCTGGTGCAGGATCTTGATGGTCTCCCATGCCTCCTTCGCCGAGTTCTTTCCGACGAGGTGTTGCAGCACATCCTTCGGCATGGCGGAGTAGATCGCTGTTAACGCCTGACCTTTGCGTACTCGGCAC